TTTCGATTCCGGGACCCGACCTTATATAGAAATATATAAGAACCATATTTATCTAGAATTAAATTATTAAAAAACAATCGGTCAAGTTTTTTTTTTTCCGGTATGAAGGTTTGTTGAATTCAAGATTTCGGATACCGGTGTGCAGTGATGGGGAGGAGGGTAATTTTTCATACGCAACCAGCAAAAGAAAGGAAGCGTGATTGTAACTTTCCAACTCGCTGCATGTTTGTTTCTCTACGTATAAGAGGACAATATTATTATATCACTGATTTGTATTCTAAATTCTACTGTACTAATGAAGTACTTAAACTCATAATACAATGAGCTTGGTTGAAATCCGATGCGTCATTGTGACGGATAAGACTTTAAGTACGTAACGCTTTATAAGTAATGTGTTTAATATGATTACTTATATTATCTTATCTTATCTATAATTGTGTTTTTTTTTGTTACACGTTGCATGCCAATTATTTCTAATAAAACTCGTGTTAATGCACGCTTATGCACTCAAGACTATATCGATATCCGCACCGAGAGTGAAATATTTATCCGTTTTCCTAATATCGACACGCATGTATATGTGATAAAAAAAATTCGATATTACGCTACTGGTTAGATACGATTACGAAATTCGACCGAGATTTGTGTGTGTATGGGAGTATAATACAATTTATTTTTTTTAGACACCGGATTTTTAGGTTTTCTTATATATTTGTTGGTTATATGCAACTTAACCGGGATACAAATATTGACGATTTGTCAATGACAGTGTTCGTAGAGAAAAAATCGTACGATAAAAGAAAAAATGATAAAAACCATTCAATAATTTATTCGCAACATCGCGATTGTTTTATGTTTATCCGTTTCGACGGTTTGTAATTAAATTAATTATTTTGGTTATTTTTGAACTACTTTTGATTAACGAAACAATCGTAAAACGTTCAAACCATTGTTCATTTCACAAGAAATCATAATAGATAAATGCGAAGAAAAATAAAAAAGCATTTATGAATACGAATGCATATTTTCAAGTTTAATTATATTGTGAGGAGTATTTTAACAGTTTTTTGATAATTTTTTTTAATGGAATATTAAAAGAACATTTTAAAAAGGTGTTTTTTTTTTGAACATTGAACTTTGACTTTTTTGTGACATAAAACTCCGGACTCTAAATTATTATAATATTGTGGGGTGTGTGTGTGGAACGAGTATTGAGCGATTTTGGATTGGATTTGATAAAAAAAAAAAACGTCAAGTCAAGCCGGACGAGGTCGTGAGGCAGTAACGCCGTCCCCGTGCACACGATGTATATATAATGTACGTTTAACGTACGGTGAAAAAAAAAAAATGAGCGTTTTTAAAAACAAGTCATGTGAATATTCGTCATGTACGCGATAAAGGGCGAGGCGAGTGCGTCCCGCGGTAGTACGACCGCAATTATATATATTTTTTTTTTTTCGTTTAAATCGTTGGGGTGGACACCATCGCTGCACTGCACACTGCGAGGGTCGACGCGCGGTCTATACTCACGGGGGTGTAACAAATACGTAGTTATTTTAACTTTGGGAAAATAACACACGTATAATATACAGGATGTTTCGGGGTTTACTCTGTATGGAAACGTTGGGAACGTATAATACTTGCATTGTAAACATTATGATCTCATATCGACTAGTAGAACAGAATACCGGCTACTGTATACGATTTTCAGATTATACCGTGGGAAATTAAAAACTGAGCAGTTATTTTTTCATTTATTACGAACATAATGTTATTACAAACCAATTGAATTTTTTTTTTTTTCTGAACAGAACCAATTTAAAATAATATAGGATTAATATTTATATATGCCTATATTCATTAAACATTTGTTGTGTTTATACTCTATCCCATTATAGAGCATGCCTCGCGATAACGAAAATTGGTCGGCTATGCGCATATCCACCGTCGTCGGTGGCAAAATTTGAATGCATGGAGGAGATACGATGACCCGGTTGGTTGACGAAGGATGAGCAGATCCGCCATGCTCTATCGTGGGACAGAGTATAGGTTTTCTATCTGCCTCATCATCAAATTCTTCTTCTTCATCCTCATTAGCATTGGCCTAACAAAAATACGTGTATACCTAGGCTCTTTTATTATGTTTATTTAAGAAAATTATTCTAGCTTGTCAGGGTCCTACTCTAAAAGAGAAGGCATATTGTAATAAATGTAAAAAAAATAATTTTCATAATATACCAGCAAACTATTCTGGGACACACTATTTAGAGTATTGCGGGTACTTATAAGTATTTCCACATATGCGCTGTATAGTTATGTATCCACAATATATATGAAAATATTAGTTGCTGTTAAAAATTTCAAAAAAATTATCAAGAATTTTTTTCTATTTATTTATGGATGTTCTGGTATTTTATATAACATTATAATATTTATAAATCCATCTTAAATTGATATAAACAAAGGTATCTCTCCAAAAATACTACGAACCACTTCAATATCACCTACTCTTGATTGTTCTATACTGGTGAATGGTTTGAAAACTAATGGCTTATTTGCGTTTAGTTCAAACCATACCGAAAGGAACTCTCACAGAATCGAGTACTTTTACACTGACAGCGTCACTTTTTCTAAATGTACTTATAGTGAAATTTCAAACATTTCTTTCTATTTTCCTAGTTTAAGGCAACGCCCACCTTTCTTAAAACAAAAAAAAAAAAAAAAGGACGGACATACTTCGTACGTGAATATAGCCACTGTTGTAGGTGAAAAGTTGAGAAGGTAGGCTACAGACGGGAATTTACTATATATTTGTAAGCAATGATAAATTATTACTAACAAAAAACGATTCTGAACTGAGTTTAGTTGATAATTTGCTTTGTGATTTTTGTGTTTAATACTTTTTTTTTTATAAAGGAATTTCAATATCAAATTTTGACGAGAATCGTTTGAGTAAAAAATTATGTGGAACAAATCTAATTTTTCAATTTTTTTTTTTGGAACATGTGTATAAGATAAAATCTGCGTAAAAACTGGATAAAATGTCGGAAAAACGGAAAATGTACAAAATGTAGGTATTAGTAAAAAAATATTATGGCCTTTTTTTTCGAAGATCCAAACGAACAACACTGGGCAGCAGTAAAAGGAATTTTAAAATATTTAAAGGGAATCGGATTATTCTTTAGTTCTCGACAAAAACCTTTGTTAAAGGGATACAGTGATGTTGACCATGCAGGTGGCTTGGATACACGAAGGTCAACATCAAAACATCAGTATTTACATTAGGATCTGAAAGTATAGCACGGAGTTCACGTCATCAACAGTGTTTTAGCTTTAGCACAACTGAATCAGAGTACATAGCTTTAAGTCAAGCAGTACAAGAATTAACTTAGTTGAAATTGTTTTTAGGTGAATTACTCGATCAACCGAAAATGTTACTAACAATGTTTGGAGACAAACAGAATGCGACCAAACTGGTAAAAACTCCTGTTTCATAGAAGAAATAAGCATATTGATATTCGCTATCACTATAAACGAGATAAATTCAATGAGGGATTGTTTTCTTTGGAGTACGTACCTAGTAAACAGCAGATTGCGAACATCAGGACAAAGGCTCCTCGAACACGTTTCCATGGACATAGGGAGATATTAAAGGTTATAAATATTGATGTATAAGGGTATATTGTTTAAGGGAAGGTATTGAAATTATAAACAACACACCCTGTAATATGTAGATTATAAGTAAACTATTCAGACTGTAGTATGCGTACGCTGAATAGACATATTTTTTTATCATAGCATATTTTTCTTATATAGTAGCTTGTAGAACGGTTAGTCGTTGATTTATATTATGTCTCATAACACCCTTGTATATCGTATCTCTATACTTATTATTATAGTACTTTATCCGATCTTATTTTTAGCTTCTGCATATCTGTGTACTTCAACACTATTTAATTATTTTAACATGATATGACAGTGGCTGCACCTGTCTCCATTATTCTATAACGTCTTTTTTTATTTTAACCTTATTCATTTTTTTTTTTTTTTTTTTTGTGAACACTGATAACGTAAGAAACATATGTTTTTAAAAATTATTTTTAAATTTCCTGTGTTTTTTTATTAACTCAAAATAGTAAGTATAAAACATATATATGTTTTTTTTTATTATTATTAAAATGTACGTATTAATTTACACTGGCTTTTTTTTTCGGGGTTTTTTTCCCTCAGTTGACCCAAATAACATACGTATTCTCTGAATGCTTATCACTGAATTTGTGTGACATCTCTTCCGCTGAACGCTAATGAAAGAAAACCTTTTAGGTCTGGCTGAAAACACGCATGCACATCAATTCACTTTTCGCGAATTTCTCGAGAACAAAATACCTTCTTTTAGAAAATATGCTACAGTTGATAATATTAGTAGAAAAGTTTTTACTAATAGAAACATATTTTTTAAAAATGTAGACTAAGTAAAATCAATACATTTATCACTTTACAAAAGTGGAGAGGTGTTGGTTATTCAAATGTTTTTTTTTCCATTTTGTCTGCAATAGTTAATAATTAATTTAATTAATTTATAATTGTTTAAATGGTCAGAATGGCTATTTTTATTTTATAAATTGATACATTTGTTTACGATCTGGATATATCTGAATTGAATAATGATAATCTCGGATCGATCCGTAAAACCTATCCTTGACCTAAGTGAAAAATAAAGCCACTATACTGGCATTAATTTTATATTAGTGGATGTAATCTATGTTATCTACTGATTAATCTGTTATTATTATGGAGGTCGTCTGATGTAAATTTTGTATTTTGTAATAAAGATTATTATATAATATCGAATAGTAGGTAAAGGTTTCTTCTAGAGTAAAATACTTCACAGTGTTAGATATATTATAATAATTTATTAATAACACTTTGTTTAATATACAATAATTGTTATTATTATAAATTCTAAATATTACAATTAATATCTATTCCACAGAATTGTTACCGTTTAAGTATTACATAAAATTAAATTAATCAGATATTTATAGTATAATATAACGATTAATTAATACACTTTAAATTTTATTTTTATTTTTTAACAACTTTTTTTCCTTCAGATATACTCTATATATTATGTTAATTAATGAATTGAATCGTTTAAAATAATCACAAACATAAATATTTAAAAAGATATTTATTTAAAACAAAAATATTTTTAATAATCTAATAGTCTGAATCGTCCTGAGGAATATTGAACTTGACTTTTTTATGCCTTTTATCAAGATTACTTGGATTATTACTGACATTTAGTTTAATGTCGCTGAACTTTATCACTTTCGAATAACAATAATGTACTTTTGAATTTATAAATTCATTATTTATTGTAGAACTCAATACATTAAGTTTGGAAAACATATTCTCAAGTTGCATATTTTGATTATCCTCAAGCGGTGGTGTTTGTAACAAACTAAATACTATATTAAAGGCAGACATTTGTTTTTCAACCCTATCCATATAAATTTTTCTATCAAATTTGTCGGTATTTATTATATTTTTCACAAGAATCTCTATATCATTAATTAAAGGATTAAATTTCTCTGGAATATTGGGAAGTGAAATCATACTCAATGGAGGTAGAGAAGCAAGATGTATTTTGGATATATTTTTGATTTCTGGATCTATCCAAATGTAGAATTCCAGATAGTCATAAATTTGTTTAAACTCATTAAAAAAAATTGAAAAATAAAATTTAAAAACCAAATCATAAAAATTACCTAAATAGTGAGGACTTATAAATAAAGATATAATATCATTATATACGAATGGCATTGTTAGACGCCTTCCTTTCCAATTAAATTTTATATGAAATTGATGAGTACAAAATAATGGGGGGAGCACTTTCGACTCATCATACAAATTCTTATACAATAATTGTACATCGTAACAATATAGCAAAGGGTTGACGTAGTTGCCTGTGTTAGAATCGGATGAATGCAAACCTGCCGAATATTGATAAAAACCGTCTTCCTTATATTGAATAAAATTTACATTATTAAACAAAAAAAAACTAAATCTTGGTAAAGTGCAATATTTAATTGCATAGTTATTCAATTCTGACATAATAAAATTAACCATCCTGGTTAAGAAATTCTCATTGGTTGAATCCCGGTTTTGGTTAACCAAAACAATTAATATGTTTTGTGCCGTTTCAAAAAGATTGTTTTCTTTAACATTTCTTGAAATCATCATGTAAATAATATAGTTTTTAAGATCATCAATGGTATCCCACGCCTGTTTAAAATATTTATTGTTTTTATCGTTAGGTCCTGTATTGAATCCTTTGTTAAGTTTAACAATAATCCCGTAACAATTAATGTATATATCGAATACAAAACTACAATCGTTTGGACTACTATTATTCGTGTTGTATTGAAGTAGCTCTTTACTTTTGTTATTTTGGAAATCAAATGTAACCTGATCGTTTTTTAGACATTTATGAGATCTATGAAAACACATTAAATCGTCGAAATTGTTTTCTAGTTTTGTTAATAAATACATCAAATATGAGTTTGGGTTATTTTCAAAATCACTGAATTTTGGTGTGGTTACTGTAGATACTTTAACTTCTTCGTCAAATTTAAAAAAATAAAATTCATCGTCATCTTCATCTTCATCTTTATTAACAGTAATAGTTGGGAATAATTTTATGTCATCCATTTTGTCGTAAAATTCTTTCATTTGTATGAGAGTATTATGGTTGAAGTTTTCCACAAATTCGCGTAAGAGCTCAAAACCTTTGACCAAAAGTGTAGGTAAATTTAACATAGAGACAAACTTATAATAGAATATTTTGGTATTCAATTGTTTAATTAAATCGATATTTGATGGCGATAAACGACTATTTATTTCTAAAAACAAATTGAGTATTTTATGGAATATTAATTTCACGATCGCGGTTATTACGGAATCCAGATACCAGAATATTTTTTCAATGTCGTACGACGGTCTGATTTGTGCCCAAATGTCTTTGATTAATATATATTTAGTGGACGTAATTTTCAACAGAGTATTGGCAATATCGAACGAAATGACGTCTTCCATTGAAGACATTGACACAATATTTTCTAAGAACATTTTGTTTACTGTGCAACCGTCTAATCCCAAATTCAGACCAAAAAATGATGGCTGTGCATTAATTATATTTATCAAATCATCGGTAGTTTTTTTGTTTTTAACGATTGTTAAATAATTATAAAATAGTGGATCTATTTCGTTGTCGAATGGTGATGTTATAATATCACAATACACTGACAAAAAACGTTGAATTGAATTCATTTCTACGAGAATTTCTTGAATCACAACTGTATCTGTTCTCTGAAATTCAGATAATTGCTCACCATTTTTCAATGTCATAAAGTATATTTTGATTTCCAACGATATCAATGATTTTAAAACAGCATTGTCGTAGTAATTTGCACTAATCGGGTTAATGCGTATAAAATTGTGTAGTATATCTATGAATTTTTGAATGTTTTTCTTAATTTTGTTTAACTTATGGACAAAATATTCGAAATATTTATTAAAAAAATTATCAAAATTCGTATTTAAAAATGAGCTCTGATACGTCAACGGGAATGTACGAACGAAATAGTATAACTGATTTATAGTCCATTCGCCAAAAACACAACTTATGACATTGTGGAACGCATATCTTTTATCGATTGGCTCTAAAGAAGGTTCATGATCGTAAACTAATATTTGGTAATGTAATAATGATTGTCCGTATTGAATTGTAACTTGTTTCACGTTATTATCTATAGTATTAGAAATACTTACACTCTGTTCAATTTCCACAAGATGATCTGCCATTTGGTTGTCTGCAACAATCGTTGACAGAAAAACGAAAATTAATATAACCTTATTGTAACAATATCCTTTCTCGTACGACATTTTCACTGAAATCCTGTTGTAGAAATTCAAGTTGTAAGTTTACTGTACATCCATCTATTACATTAGGTACCATTCGTTATTCTAACCAGCAGCTGAAACAAAACAGCGGGTTCGTTATATAAACATTTTTATTTAACTAGTTGACGCTGCAGATATTAAAACTTTATAGGTAATCACATTATTTGTTTTATACATGTTACGAGTAGGTATGTATAGTATCACACACCAAAAAATATAAATGTAAAAAGGTGCCAAGTGCAGTTAATTTATATGAAATAAATGGGTGCAAAGCTTAAATTCGTTTAGAAATGAAAGTTCCTGTTCGCTACGTAATAAATGTTAACATTTTATTAATAAGCAAACAATATTTTAAATTTTAGATTTTGTTTAGAGGAATTTAGTTGTTTTCTTATGAGGTATGTTTTTTAGATTCTATACGTTTTTGAAGTGAAAGTATAAAAAGTTGATTTTAAGATAGGGACACCATGGACACGTACGAATATCAAACGTGTAAGTTGCAACTGTTGCAGATGCGTGGGGAAAAACAAATATATTTACATTTGGTAAGTTCAAAAATTATTGAACCCATTTTTTTATGTAGTAAATTTCAGTCATTTGAAACATAATTATTGTAGAATATTCAAAGTTTCAGTCCAACGGTAAATCACATATAATTTAAACTGCAAGTATCAAGTTTTTTTATACGAAAATGTAGCCAATTGCTCAAAGCATTAATTACGTAACTTATTCTATAAAAAAGACACGAATTCAATATTTACTTGTTAAATTACATGATTTTCTTAATGAAATTCTTCAATTAAATTTATACTGTTAACGAATATACTGTACTTGACTGGTAATTGGCTTGGTCCCAGATAATTAACTTATTCGATTAGGAAAGATTTTCATTTGAAATATTTGGGGAGGTAAAAATGTAATTTATCCCTCTTATATTATATAGTCACAGTAGCTTTTTCATATTTGGTCGAGACATTATACAGTTTTACTTGATAAATACAGATTTTAAATTAACCAACAAATATGTTAGAGGTGATTGGATTCTATCAGATTTTGAATAAAATAAAATCTTTATTAGAGTCTGTTCGATTTAGTGATTATGGTATACAAATTTAATGAAAATAAATTTGAATTCTATATGAAATCTATATACATGAAACCGGCCGGACGACTTGTTTAAATTTTAAATTTGTACCTGTTTAACTAATATTCAAAAAGATAAAATTGTTCTAATTCTGGCGCTCAAAATGCATACTGTATGGATGTGAAAATCTTTTAATAATCAGAAATATAATCTGTATTCGGTACCAATAATGGTTGTATTATAAATATCGTTGTCCCTGTATTTTTGGTTTCCTATAGTACTGAAACCTCGTTAAAAATAGATAACCTAAACCTGGATATAATATGATAGGACTTTGGTGTAAACTTTATATATTATACGGTATCTTCTTCTACCAGTATCATTATCTTTGTACTTAAACTTCTCTCTTTATTATTATATGTCATATGGATGCGGTCTTGCTTTGTAAATCGTGCTAGATGTATCATTTTAACAATGTTGATCCACGAAACGCTCTATCTCTGTCTCTTCCCCTGCAACCAACATTCCATTATTATTATTATTTATTTTTATTTCTTTAATATGGTCCATATGGTATTGATATTATATTCATCACACGTTCAATAAGATACGTATATCTGTACAATACTACCAGTATTTAATTACGTCATCGATGCTTTCCCATTTACGGCATTCTTGATGGCCTCCTAATAATAATAAAAAGATGAAGTGGGTTTACTGTAAACCTCCAAAATTAAAATAATTAATAATTCGAACAGGCCGGTCATACCTATACTTATACCCGCATTCACCAAAAAAGTTGTACAAATCAATTAATTAAAACGCGTGTACAGATCTATGTATACCTAAATTTATAATAATATGTATAATTGCAGATCGAAACCATAAGGCTGTGTAGTATGATTTTATTAAATATTAGCCAGTGTTAAGAATATTTTGAAATTGTATTCGAACAATTTTTTTTGTTTAAGTATTCTAATATAAACACAAATACTTGCTAAAGATATTTAAAATACTTTTTTAAATTTAAATATGTACATTTAATACGCATAATAATTGTCTATATTCAACCATATAAAAAGGAATTAAAATACAAACATAACAACATATGAAGTACTTAAGGTAGCAGTGAAAAAAACCACGTAAATACAATTTTCGTGGCATTGTTTTTAGAACAGTGAACTCCTTTTTCAAATTAAAATGGCACAGAGTTAAAATGTATAGAACCTAAATAATTAACGAAAGATTAACAAGAATATTTAACGGGGATATTGTATAATCTGTTTTCCATATTACCTTCAAATAAAACTACTGATTTAAGACGATCCAAAATAATGTCTCAAAAACGAAGTTTACAAAATGAAACAATGGCGGATGAATTCATATAATATTAATGAATCAAAAAATGCAAACCAAATTTGAATTGTCTAATTTGGTAAAATTCTCATCTCTTATGAAACGTTTGTAAAAAATATTACAAATTGTAGTGATTTCGGTAAAGCATTTGATGACGACATTTCTGTAAATACTCTTGTAAAAACAAATATTACAAACGTATTCACAACGAACATGTCCTAGGATAATGGGGACGGGTGCAGCCAATATTGGAGGTAATTTAATGCATATACCTTTAAGCAATGATAAACCATTACTTACGAAAAAACGATTCTGAGCGGAGTTCAGTTGATAATGGTGCTTCGTCAACAATATGTATGTCATATATTAGTAATAAAATTAAATAGGCTTTATATATTTTCTTTAATAATGTTTATTTAATGTTGTACAGATTTTCCCGGTTTTCCTACATTTTCCCGGTTTTTCATATTTGCTGGGAAAACTCTTGGGAAAATCGAAAAATGACCTTCTTAAAGTACTTTCTCAATCATATTTCCTTTCAGAAAAGGTGCTACATTTAAAAATTTAAGCAAGTTTTCTGGTAGAAAAGTTACGCAAAATTAAAAAAAAAAAATATACACCTTTGTAAAACTATAAGCTTCTTCGCTTCACTCAGAATCTAAAATTTTAATATTCTAACTCATACAAATTACTTATAAGTAATTAAAATTATAGAATAACTTGTTTCTTAAATGTTCTACAAAACAAATTACAAAAAAAGTTAATACTTTTCGAGATATTGAGTGTACCCACTTAAATGGATCAACTGGTATAGTGTGTGTATTAGTTGTTTCAATTTCATAAATATTTTAAGGGTATAATCTAACATCAAATACTAATATCAATTAGGTTTCGTTGGAAAATGTATAGGTACACTCGTATAAAAGCAGGAAATTAAAATATTTTACAATGTAATTGGATAAATGTTAATTATATTGTCTATAATATATATACTCTATATTATACAGAGAAGACCCATGTAGAAGTATTTTATGAACTACGAAATATAATTTAAATAAATTATTTTTTGGATACTGAGTACAACGAAGAAGCTATAAGTTTGATAAGAACTGTATTTATTTTTTGTTTCCTGGAAAACACTTACGGTTAATAAAAATGCATATCGTTCTTTAAACAATCCGAATTTTTCACCTTCATTTTAACGTTTTTCAAAAAATTTCCGGTATTCTTTCCAAAAAAATAGTTTTTTATTTTTTGTTCTTAATACTTTTATGCATCTTATTTTAACTTTTTTAGGTAAGCAAATTCTCCACTTTTTTTTTTCTACGTAATACCTACTTTGAAAGGCGGGGAATTTCTGTCGGTTGGTAATTTATTTAAAAAATGTTCCGTAAGTTCAGCTGTTTGCTCTTTATATAGGTTTATTTTAGTTGTTTGATTTTTGTAGATTTCTAGGTTTCCTTGGCAACAAGGCACAATTAGCTTAGAATCGTGTTTTCACTTTCAATGATTTATAACGATTAGTGCGTTTATAAACAGATTTCTTGAAAATTCCAATATGGAACTTGGAATGAAACTTTCGTAAAAAATCATAATTTCGTGTACATAATGATAAAAATATAACATAACTTTTTATATTCAATCTTGGAATTCAATTTCGTTAATTAAAATTATCATTTTTTTTTTTTTTTTTCAAACGAGTGAGATCTAATAAACTTTAATTTACTTTTATAACTATCATTAAACATTATGCATTTTATATACACATTACCCATTTAATCGCATAAATTCATTGATTCATACAAAATAAATTATTATACAATTTTAATATGCAGTTGTTTTTCTAATTCAATGTCATTGATTATGTAGATATTTACATACATTGATATTAGATGATTAAAAATAAAAATGCAAATATTTAGTACCTATATATTATAATTAGCACTACGTATATCGGTGTTCACAAAAATTCACTGTTAGAAATTCGAATATGTATAGTTGGATGTAATAGAAATCGAAAATGTCAACCTATACGGAAAATCAAAAAACTACCTGATGTATACCAACTAAGCAATATTTTATCTCAGAACCTAAAATCCGAGTATGATTTCTGGTAGAAAAAAAAAAGAACATGAATGAAATCATTGATGCCGTAAATGTTTGTCCTTTTTTCCAATACATTTTTTAATGTTTTTGGATTTTTCTCAAAATAATTTCCTTAAAACGCCAACCAGATCCAATATACAACAAAAAAGATCTGTTGTTATTTTTTGATTGGAGCAACATTTCTGGTTGAAAAGGTGTTCATAAACGGACAAAAAACTAATAAATAAAATCGCACATCAAAGTATAACTAATCGCCATGGCAATAATCTAAAACCGACGTGCATTTCGAATTGAATTGTATTATTTTGTTACCCCGTCGACACATCGACGTAATATCAACCGTCGTCGTTGAAACAGTTAGTTTAGGATCGCGTAGAACCTCGTCCGTATAAAATATATTTTTTATACACATACATATACGCACCACACGTATTTGTGCACCCGGTTTATTGGAGAGACGGGATTAACACGGAAAAAACTTAATT